TTCTTTTCCCCTGAAACACTGCAACCCAATTGAATTTCAATGATAACCATAAAGAACAGCATAAGAGTGAGAAAGAAAAAACTTGGAGATTAATTTGATTATTTGATGATAAATCTGATTAATTTGATTTTTTTTATAAAAATTTAAAAAACTCAATTTGTTTCTTATTTGATTGATTTCTGAGAATGATTTGTATTCAAATCTTCCTCTTGAATTACATGTCGACTTGTTCATCACATCTATTCAGTGCATGCATATATAAAAGCCGACTCACAAGAAAACTTCATTAACTGTGAAGTCAATAATGACCTGAAAACCGTTTTTTGGAAATGGCATGAGAAATTATGCGTGACATTTATTCTGACCTGCCAACTGACTTGCGAACACGAAAAAAACAGTGATTTTTTTGGTTACAGATCAAAATAAGTGACGAGTATTGTCGCAAGTTAGTTTTCGACTAACTCTTTAATGAAGAGCACGCAGCATACTCAGATCCTTGCATAAATGAGTGTTGCTAAATCCTACAAAGGGTTGCAAGATATGTTCAATGAATTCAAAGCCTTGGTTAGGTATTGTAATGATGAAATTTTCATCATCATTACTTTTCTCTTTCTCTCTCTCTTTCTACTTATATCTCTTTCTCCTCTTTCTCTTCTCTCCGCCCACATTCTTTTTCCTCTTTCGTCTTTCTCTTTCTAGCTTTTTTCATCTCTTTCTCTATTTCCTTTTCATTAAGTGGTCACTCAGCTTCCACATCGGTAACGACAGATAGTTTGTCTCAATTTTATAACTATTGATATTTCTTTAAATAGTTTGTTTTTTTTTTGTGTAAAACATTTCATATTTTGTTCACCTTTTTTATATATTCGTTAATATATACCACAAAGAAAGGTAAAAATTAGATATTTCAATATATTTTTCTCCTCTCCCTCTCCTGACCATTTCCTTACCACAACGGGTGTCCGTTGTGGTGGAATTCCTTTCCCTTACCTTACCTTTTTTTGTGTTATAAAAATTTCAAAAATTCGGGTGTACAATTTTGAAATCCCTTAAATAACAAGATATATCAATAAGAACATACAGGCTATTACACTGAATATCTCCAGAACTAAAAGTCATATGAATGTCAGACTTGACCAGAGGCCTGAACAGAATTGAAGCGCTCGACCCTACGATTTTCAAGGTCATTGCGGTCATTTAACGAAGGTAGCATTTAAAGGTCATTTTAGAGTCGTTGCTAGAAAGAGCAAAGCAAATTACACCTCAGATTTTATTTTGAAGTGTCTGTGATGAACGGATTACAAGATAGGCATGTTTCAATCTGAAAACACTTTAAGAGTCGCGTTTATAAGAAAAGTCTGTATCTCAGCTGCCTTTTGACGTAATTTGATTTGCTCTTTCACACGACGGCCTTGAAATGGCCTTTAAATGCAACCTACGTTAAATGACCTCAATGACCTTGAAAATCGTAGGGTCGAGCGCTTCAATTCTTTTAAGTCCTCTGGTCAAGTCTGACATTCATATGACTTTTAGTTCTGGAGATATTCAGTGTAATAGCCGTAGTGGATAAAAAAACGCCCTGTATTATGTGTCCCAGTTAAGCCGAATCTTCGTTAAGTCAGAACTAAGTTAAGCTGAATCGTAAGTAAACTAAATTGCCGTCAAACTAAATCTCAGCTAAACTAAAGCTCAACATTAATAAAGTCAAAATTAAAAAAGTTAAACACCAAAATCTCATCACCTGAATCTCAACACCAGAATCTCATCACCAGAGGCTTATTACTTGAATTTCATCACTATAATCTTATTATTCTTATAGATAAGCCGGGTGGCCCGACTAATCTCTTTCTTTTTCTTTTTGTTTTCTTTAACTTCTTTTCTTTTGTAAAAGGTCAATTAATTAATAAGGTGACCAAACAATAATTAAATAAGATTATTAACCAGAAAAATGATTTAGGAAACAATGACAATTTAAGTTAGACTCAATTATAAATCAATTCTTAACTTGTGTACTCTTTTAAACATTCGTAAAATTACTTCCATTAAACTTTAATTTGCCATATTTAAAACCGTCACAAAAACAAACGTGACAGTATAAAAAGGGAAATCAAACGATCCGACAGCTCATTATAAATCAAACGTTCAACATGTCAACATTAAACTGGTTATCGTTAAATCCAATTAAAATCAACAATTACAACTATTTCATGGGGTGAACTCAGAAATGGTGAGATTAGATGTGCAAGAGTAGATCTAGTTGAGAACATCGAAGACAAACCTAAATTGGCTGGTGTTAATCTAACCTGACGTGAGCTCAGTGGACTTGGTGATTTCTATAATTTGAAGATAGACGACATTGGAGCCACAGAAACAATAGAAGAACTGACAATCGAAAACAATGACTATGGAATTACTCTATCTAAAAGAAATCGGAGACTCGATGGTCTATAAAAATATTGTTCCAACAGTAATTGCTCTAATTCTCGGTGTTGTTTATTTGATGGAAATGCTATCATATATCACTCATCTATTCATCGAGGACCCTCAAAGGTTCATTGTTTCTTACAGATGTGTTTATCTCTGCAACACTGATTAAAGAAACTGGACGTATAGATCAGCCTTGGGAAGAAGAGGAGATTATCACTGAAGATAAACTAACAAGGGAAAGCTCTAACCAACTCATAACCAATTCTGATCAAATATGGCGAGACTATGCAAGTAATTAATCAACAAAATGTTTAAATTCTTTGAACTTTTTTACAAAAATAGAAAACGATTTCTTATTTCCATGTATAAAATGTTTTTCATATTAACCAGGATAACATTTTTTTCTTCTGTCTTTCCATTGTGTTTCATCTCGGTCTCAATCATTCTTTTTTGGACGTGAATTTTGCCATGAACTCCTTTGTCCATCCTTCGTTCATTTTCTAGGATGCGTACCTCATACCATTAACCCAAAACTTTCGTTGGTCAGCTGTCTCTCTGCCAGTGTTAACTAGAAATAAAAGATAAAAAATTGAACAGATGTCGCAAATATTCACATGAAAAATATAACAACTTACCATGATGAATACTTATGATGTTATTTGGAATCGGCTTTGTTAATTGTGTTAGTATGTTTTTATTTTTTTTATATATGTTGCTACAGTTATTCATCACATTTTTTAATCCTGAAAAATGAGTTAAGATATCCTTGCTGCCACAGATCTTGAGATATTACAGTTTAATTGAATAACTGCTGAAAATCTTCCATGTAATAAATTTAGCATAACGTGCATTGCAAAGCTCATAGAAACCTAAAAACTTGTGGGTAGTGTCTCTGAATATTCTTCTTCGTAAAATTACCGTACGTAAATTAACGTAAATTCAGATGGCCTTGAAACTTGTTATTTTACCGATGACCTGAATGACCTTGATCTTTTGATATGACAAACAAGTATCGTGTCTCCTCGACTTTTAGTTGCTGAGAAAATCGCAAAACATCGGTAAAAATAGCTTTTGATGAAAAGCGTTTTATTGAAAAAAATTAAATATGTCCTGAAGGAAAACAAGAAGATAAAAAACTACTAATTTTGATAATGAATTATAATTTTGATTGAGATAATTTATTAATTCAATCAGATTAATATAGAACTGGAACTTTGATTCATAATCAGAATATTGATAAATATCAGTTGATAAAAGAAATCGAAACATATTTCTATAGTAAGTAGTAAATAAACCTATGATGCAAATGTACTTCGATTTAATTTTTCAAATTCTTTTCAATTTTTGTTCATCTTTTTATCTTTTCAATAAACTTCTATTGGTATGTCATTGTGCAAAATAAAGCTTCGTTAGCCAATGATTTGCATCATTGTTACCACCATACACCACGTGGAGGTGAAGCATCATAGGGTAAAAATTGTCGGGTCTTTGACTGAGGGCAGAGAGGACCAACTTCGCCCCTTCCACACCAACACTTTCATCGAACTTACAACCTCACATACAATATCAGGTACCAAGTGCAATCTGCTCTCTCTGAAATCCCTAAGGCAGAGACCAGACTTTGTTTAAAAAGTCTGTATAGCTAAGGAATAGTCTATGATTGAAATTATTTATTATCTCGTGAGAATAATCAAAGTGTTACAATATAAATCTAAATTCAAATTATATGAAAAACTGCTACAAAGAAATAATTTATCATTAAGAGTTGTTGACCTTGCAGTCACCTTCACTTCACATATTTCAAATGTAATAGACTTTTATTGTTGTTGGGATGGGATCCCTATTCTAATTAATACAATTTCAGTTATATTTTTATCATCATCTTCTTTATCTTCATCCTCAACTCCATCCTCATCATCTTCGTCATCCTCATCTTCATCTTTTTTTAGAGTTGGCAATGTTGGTTGCCAACATTTCCCCGACGTTATGGTGACCAGTCCACTGGTCAAAGCCAATTTGTTTGATGTTTTCTCTGGACGTGGACCTTGTACCGTCTTACCGTCATGATTTGATTACATTCCTTATCTGGGCATTGAACTAGTAACTTGCGAAATTCATTCATTGAAACAGGACCGGTATGTCGCAGATGGCTGCGGTTGAAGGGTAAATCACATCTTGCGGGGCACTCGAAGTTATTTCGACTCTGCTAATCTAAAGACAAGAGCTACAAAACATAACTTTACAACTAGTGTTTTCCTTATGTACACATGGGTTTTCTGCTAAATTTTGACAGATGATGCACTCGTAATCTCTGACTACATTGGTGTCTAAAAATAGGTAGGAGGTTAGCTTAAAAGGGTTTACAATGGGTTCAGCTATAAGGTAAGATGGGATTTGAGGTTCAGGTTCAATTATCTGGATCTCGTCATCGTACGTTTGTGAGCGTATCAACTCTTCGATGTTATCTCGGGTGCTTAAGACAGGTATCCACTCTTCGTGACTCATGGTGACAATTTTGTCTCTTTTCGTCGATTCCTGAGGCGTTTCTCCTCCACTTCTGGATGTTTCTCTCGTCAGTGGTAGAGTTTTATTTGCGATGCATGAACTCTAAACTCGTCCGTTGAATTTTCTCGTTTCACTATGTAAGTGGTGTTACCCATTTTCTTAATTATTTGAAACGGTCCTTCGTATTTTGGGCCAAGTTTCCCTTCCCTGAGGTTGAATTCGCGTAGAACCAATTGACCAACTTCGTAAGTTCTAATCTTATTCTTCTTATCATGATATTCAGCTTGTTTCTCTTGCGAAGTTGCAGAATGGATTTGCGCTTGTTCTTTAACAAATTTCCATTCATGATTCATAAATTTCATGTATTCACCAAGGGTTGTCTTCTTTACATCGGGGTTAGTTTGTAAATCAACGGGAAGCATTGGCTCTCTCCCATACAAGAGAAAAAAGGGTGAAACTTGATTAATTCGGTTGACACTTGAATTATAAGCGAAATTAATTAGGGGCAAAATTCGCGTCCATTTAGTTTGATTTTGTTCCTGACAATAGTGCATGAGCATTGAACAAATCGTTCGATTTACTCTTTCGGTCAATCCATTCGTCTGCGGGTGGTAAGCGGTTGAAAGTTGCCACTTCGCATTCATGAGGTTTCCTACTTCTTGAACCGTTTCGTCCCTGATCACTCAGGATTGACTTGGGGCAACCATGTCGACACAATATATTTTCAATTAGAAATTTAAAGGTACTCTTTGCGTCTTTCTTTGCTAGAGCTTAGATCTCTACCCATTTAGTGGAATACTCAGTGGCTACAATGATGTATTCCTTGCCCGATGAACGAGGGAGAGGTCCCAATATATCGATCCCAATCTTTTCGAATGGAGCCGAAACAACAATTGAGTTTAATGGTGGAGTTGAATTTCCTATTCCAGTCTTATTGTATTGACAAGATTCACAATTTTGAATGTAATCAGCAATTTCCTTGTTCATTTTTGATCAATAATATTTCGCTCTGATCTTCTCATAGGTCTGGAATAAACCACAATGTCCTGAAAGAGGTTCGTCATGATAAGCTTTCATTATCTGCAATACCATTGACCTCGGAAGGACAACGACCCATTGCTGACTATTTTTGTGATTAATTTTCCGCTGTAAAAGACCATTTTTAATTCGGTGTTGACTTTTGTCCGATCAGTGATTTTTGATAGCTTGTCCTCACTGAATTGTTAAATTTTTGCTTGGATGAAAGGGTCATTTCTCTGTTCATTTAATAATTTACTTTCTTCTTGATTCTCTTCGGTGATCAATAAAGTAAACAAATCATCACCTTGTTCACAATCATCATAACCAACTGTGTTGAATTCTGGATCGTTGGTTGGGTATCTGCTGAGACAATCAGCGTCAGCATGAATTTTTCCAGACTTGTAAAAGATATTGATTTCAAAAGATTGTAAACTTAAAGCATATCGCATTAGCCGAGGTGGGAGTTTAGTTTTCGACCGAAAGAAGCAGAGGGCGCAATGATCGGTGACGACTTCAAATTTGATCCCTTCCAGGTAATGCCGAAACTTCTCCACCGCATATATTATGGCGAGGCATTCTTTATCAGACACCGGGTAATTTAATTCAGCCCCACGAATCTGTCTGCTCGCAAAAGCAACAGGTTTCCATTTCTTTTCATGCTTCTGCAAGATGATTGCTCCCAGACCAACATCAGATGCATCAGTTCGTAATTGAGTTTCCAGAGTATGGTCGAAATGAGCCAGAACGGGAGCGCTGCTTATCTTTCGCTTTGACCATTCGAAAGCCTCGATTTGATCATTTTTCCATTGAAATGGAACATCCTTTCTCGTCAGTTGAGTTAGAGGTGATGCTAGCTTAGCAAAATCGCGGATAAACTTTCGGTAGTAAGAGCACAAAGCGACGAAGGCCCTAATGTCCTTAAGTGTGTTTGGAGTTGGGAAATTTACTACAGCTCGAATCTTTTCAGGATCTGGTTCTTGTCCTTCGTTACATTAGATACATAGATTACATGACCAAGATAAAGAATTCTGGTTCTTAAGAAATGACACTTATCTGGCTTCAGGGTTAGTCCTGCGATTCTCAACCTTTCGAAAACTAATTGTTATCTGATTAAATGTTCTTCGTACGTTTTGCTGAATATGATAATATCATCAATGTATACCAAGCATTATATATTAAATAGCATTATTTTCCACAGGATAATCGTAATCATCGGTATCGATCTCACTCTCTTCTTATGATTCTTGGGTTATCATTTTTACCGCTTTCTTCGGTCTTCTAGGAGATCGCTTTCTGGTGTTACCTTGACTCTTCCTTCTTTCATCATCCTTTCGCTCCTCCGGGCTTCTGCTTCTTCCACGCCGTGGAAGATTGGTTGAAGTGGAGGGTTTATCTCTCCAATTATCAGGTTCTCTAGATCTTTCTCTAAAGGCACGTTCAGCAAATTGCTTATTAGTGTATTGGGGTCGTTGTTGATTAGGTTGTTGATTGTTATATGCATTCGTTGATTCAGACGGTTGATTGTATCTTGTCTGGTAGTTCGGATTATTGTCAGATGCTTGACGATTTTTGTAACGACAAATTGCCTCGGTGTGACCGAATCTCTTGCAATAACTACAGATGATTACCTTAGTAGCTAAATTAACGAACTTTTGATTCAAATGTTTCATTGTTTCCTGTAGGTTTGAAATAGTTTCATTCATGTTGGGATTAATTGAATCCCTTTGCATCATGAATGAGCTGTTACAGGAAAGCATTGCTCGTTCAGCTAATCTTGCTGATTCAACCAAATGCTGTAGCGATTGTGGATTTTGTAATGCTTTCCCATATTTAATTTGTGGAAGCAATTTTTCTTTAACAAGACTCAGAACAAATATTTCATGAGTATTTTCATCGATTCGTAGACAAAGTTCTTGAATTTCATAAATGAAAGCAGTTGTTGATTGTCCTGGTTGTTGAGAGGCATTGTGTAATTGTTGTGATAAGTAAGAACGGAAATCAGAGGGACAAAGATCCCTTATCATTGATTCTTTTAACCCAACATAGTTAACGGGTCGCTTAGCTTCGGGTGTATATTTACCAGTAATAAAATTGTACCATCTTCGCGCTGTATTTTGTAAATAGGTTGGTACTATTGTGAACATGTTATCGGCATTCCAACCATAATTGCGACCTATCGTTTCGAAGTTTTCAAACCATTCGAAAACATTGTCGTTGTTTTCACTACTAAAGTATGGGATATGAGTCGGTAGATTAGGTAAGGTTACATTGTTTACTCTTGGTAATGAGGATTGAGGTTCATCAGGTTGAACCTGTTCAATATATTGATAATAATTAGGAGATGGATCAGACATTTTTAGAGAGGTTGATGAGTTGACACGTATAACTTATAAAGAGAAAATAGGAGAAAAACAAAAGCAATAATAGTAGGTGATAAACAGATTAATAAAAGTATCAAGTTGTTTCTTAGTTCATCGCCGAAAAGGTATTCATCAGTTGCTTCAGGGGTGTAAACGTGACACACTCGTTGTAATGAACGATCAGAAGACATGAATATTAGTTAACAAAGTAAGGTGGCCAATAAAGCCCAACAAATGATTCAGTCTCACTTCGAGTGGCTATTAATCTTTGATGATAGGAGAAGGTAACAGTTACAGGGCGTTGATAACGAGACCAGTAAATATCAGATGGATGTACTTTTACACTTATAAGTTCAAACTTAATTTCACAATTTGTCATAGGTAAACACAAGGTTCCAGTTCACAAACTTAAAGTTAATACTTACTAATTAGATTAAAGCTTCCCATTAGCAGTCAGTTCAAGTTGTTTACTGATTTATTTGATTGAGTACAATTTATATTTATACCAAAGGATCATCAACTCAAACTAACATTTGACTAGAGTAAAACTTCCCATCAAAGTCAGTGAGAGTGATTCACTTTTAAGTGTGTTTGATACCAAATAAGGATTTCAACTTATAACTCGTGATTAGAATAAACCCTTCCCATCACAGAGTTAAATTAAAGTTAAAGACTTGGAGCATGAATACTGATTATGTCACCAAATATGATTGTGACTTGTTCAAGTTTCAAGATTATCTTAAAAGTCAAAGAATTAAAGGAGAGGTGCAAATTGAGCTGTCAAATTCACTCGAGACTAGATTTAATATTCCCGTCAACAAGTTATTTTAAGCAACATCAATCTCTTTTGATTGGAATAGAGGTCATAGAAACTATTGTGTAAGAAATTGTGCATCAGTATTTGCCAATTGGCAATTGATTGTTCAATGTAATCTTTTTTTTTCTAGAACAATATTTTGCATAAACTTCGTTGCTAAATATACTCGATGAATAACAGGATACTTATCTGTATATGCTGTTGTTGACGAGAAAAAACAAAACAATAAATGAGTTCCAGTGGTTGTAAATAAAAGAAATAAGGGAAAAAGGTCCAAAGAAAACGAAAGTTCCAACAGAAATCGCAATCAGAAAAATTCCATTTCCAAATTATAGCAAAACAGGTAGATGAAAGGTATAAATAACATTTGTTTTATTTTATTGAATATTTATATATTAAATTTCACTGATTCCTGTTTGCAGGTTGTTTATTGTTTAATTTATTCATAAAGTTTATCACTTTGCTGTAGACGATTTGTTATTATATTTTCATGTGATTTTAATGTATTTATTTCATTAATATTCGTTTGTGATGGTGGTTAATTATTCACTTTAACCGAATAAAGGTAACAAAGAAACTCACATTTCACATAACTTTGATCAAGTTCGATCCATTTCACTATTTATTTGATGATTTAACTTGTTGTATTAAATAACATTTAATATTTCAACAAAATTGAATTAAATTAACTGGCTATATTAAAAAGTATTAGTAGCAATTAAAACTTTCGCCGTATCCGGCTCTCGACGGACCAATTGTTGACCTTGTAGTCACCTTCACTTCACATATTTCAAATGTAATAGACTTTTATTGTTGTTGGGATGAGATCCCTATTCTAACTAATACAATTTCAGTTATATTTTTATCATCATCTTCTTTATCTTCATCCTCAACTCCATCCTCATCATCTTCGTCATCCTCATCTTCATCTTTTTTTAGAGTTAGCAATGTTGGTTGTCAACAAGAGTTCAAAAATTATCTATTTAAATAACTGAATATTTTTGAACTGATTCAAAATTTTATGTCATTAACGATTGGGATTGATTAAGTCAGGATTTGTCATTTTATACTTTTCTGTTCCTCTTTGGGTGAATTTATTGACAATTGATAGAGAGCTTTTGTCATCTAATGAATATTTTCTATCTAGAATAACAATAGATGCCCATGAATCGAGTTGTGGGTTCTTCTTAGCGTCGTTTGATCTTAACTCATCTTTCTCTATTCGTTGGTGGCAAATACTCCTAAAGTGATTGGCTGCATATGCGTTCCCTTTTAAATGTGTTTTTATACCAGGACCACTAGTGAAAATCTGCTTACAGTATTTACAGTCAAGTAAATATGGATTCGCTTTGATATAATCCTTAGTCCTAGAACCTCACAATAAGTTACTCTTTCAGATGCAGGAAGTGAAAGCTAGTCAATTTCAGGAAAAACATCAAAATCAGCT